GATCCTTTAATACAGTTCCTCATGTTGTGGTGACCCTCCCAACCATAAAATTATTTTCATTGCTACTTCATAACTGTAATTTTGCTACTGTTATGAATTGGGCGACCCCTGTGAAAGGGTTGTTTGACCCCCAGGTTGAGAACCGCTGACTTTGCGGTTAGCAGCCCAATATGTAACCCACTAGGGTCTCTGAGTTGGTGTCCACTTGATGGCATTGGGTCTGAATTTTGAGTTTTTGGCATCTTGATATATTACATGGCAGGGGGGGGGGTATATGTTTAATCTTAGTGTGAATGCAAAATACAAGCTCAGTTTTCTTGGCTGTTGTCCACTTTAGAATAGTTAGAGCTTTAGTGATATACGTGTAAAGAGCCCAGAGTCCACTTTGGAAAACCTACAGAAACCTGTCCTCCTTCCTCCCTTGCCCATCGTCCCTGCAGATCCTTCAGCTGGCAGTGTCACAGGTTGAAGCCACAAAGAGGAGGCGGGAAGCTCTGCCATCTGTCTTTTGCTCTCAGTCTCCGTCTGCATGTCTGTCTGTCTGTGTCTGCCTGCCCTGCCTCTTATCCCCTAACACACACACTCACCTAGGTGGGTCTGTCTCTGATTGTGTGTTATTTGTCTCTCGGTCTGTCTGATTGACTGCCTCTTGCTGGAGCGATGCAAAGTGCTCTCCTCTCCCAGGGACAGTGTCTGCTTTCTCTGGGCTGGTGCAAGACCCTGGAAGAGAGGAGTGCTTTGAAAAACTCCATTTGGACTGCCCCTAATGTGATCCATAATTTGCCTGATTCTCTTTTGATACAAGGACACTTTTTTCTAAAAGCAAACAAACCAAATCCTGGAAGCCCAGCTTAAAATCTTATCGAAAAAAAGTATATTGAAGTTAGATTTTACCTCTGCTCCTTATGAGGAGAAAGCCAGGTGCTGCCCTTTTCCCAGAAAAAGGCCCCAGATCATAATGTGGAAGAACCTTTAATTCAGTAACATGACAAGGATTTGAGCTGGCACTTTTCAGCTAGGACCTGTTACACAGGAACACACACAATCTCTTAAGTTTCAGTGAATAAAAGCAATTCAAATGATAGATGGCCAATCTTGGTTTATACATCAACTGTCTTTTAACATGGGGAAGTTTTGAGTACTGACTTTCTACTGCTAACTCTCGTATCAAGAGTGAATAGGCAAGAAAGGAAAATGTTAAAGAAAAAGGAAAGTGCACTATATTAGGAATAGAAAACTGCAAGGACAGACTAGACATGTCCTGAGTACTGCTGTAGCATGATGTGTACATTTCTAAAAAATAAATTGCCCCACTGTGCAAATTGTTCAATAAAAACCCTAGGGGGTTAAGAGGGCAGGATGACAGGCTTAGGGCTTAAAAGCTTCATCAGTGACACACAGAAGACCCTAATGAAGACACAGAATTGTTTTCTATATCTTAAATGGTTAAAATGTTCTACGGCGTAGAATCAATCTGCCACTTTACCTAAACACAGACCTAAAGTATGCTAGAAAGAAGGAAGGTTGGCAGCGGAAGGTTTGGCTGCTCTTTGGAAGTTACTGTGCACTGGTGGAAAGGGGAACGAGGAGAGGGTTCTCTGAAACCGGAAGAAAGGTGGTAGCCAGCCGTGGGGGTGTGGCTTGAATGCCTGCAGTTGTCAGTGGGTGAGCTCTGTGTCCTCATATGGCTGGGTTTTCTGCCGTCCCTTCGGGTTTCTGGCAGACAAAATTGCACAGAAGCAAGGCACAGTTTGTATAATGCTCAGATTCTTCCCTAGTACAACAATGACGGTGGACACTTTTGTATTTTAAACCAGCTTTGTAACCACTGATTTGTTTAATCGAATTGAGAACTTCATGTACATCATTTGGTCTTAAGGTAAAATACCCCACATTTGCTCAGAGACCTTTGCTTGAGAATTTGCACGCTCAGAATAAATGCATGTACTTCTTAGAAGTCACAGGTTCTAGTTGATTATCCTCTTTGAACCAGAAACACAGGCTTTTCTCATTATTGCATCTCCACTGGTGCTGCCCAAGGTGATTTTAGAAACCTATTGATTCATAGAGAGCTGAAGTATTCTTTAGAAAACACCTCTCTATACTAAAGGTGGTGCCTGCTTCCTGGAGGGCTACCTGGAGGTAGACTGGGGTGGTTTCCTGTTGTCCCTGGTAGAGGGTAACTACTGGTGATTAGGAGATGGGGCCAGACATACTGCAGCCCTGTTCTAAGAGTTGACTTGAATAAAATGCCAGTAATGCTAAGGAGAGGTAGCCTCTATTATTGACAATAGTTGTTAAAATTTAAATAAAGTGTTAAGAAAAAATAGTATTTTATGTGGCTTTGGTAAAAATTGTGCAAACCGCTTCCAGTTGATAGAAGTTTGGAAAACATTACTTTAGAGCAAGCAACAGCAATGAACTTCAGTGCATGTGCCAGCGAGTGTTCTCAGCTTTGTACAAATGTTAACTTGCTCAGCCGTGGTTAATAGTTCTTGAGACATGACTTGAGTCCAGGGCAGCCTTTCAACCTTGGCTGCAGAGCAGAACTACACAGAGGAGCTTGTACAATTCTGGATGTCTCTGACACACCCTGCACCAATTAAGTCAACTCCTTAGGTTATGTGAGCGTGCAGCCAAGGGTGAAGACCACAGGCTTGGGGTCACTGGAAAATCACTCCTCTGTACAAGAAAAGCAAATGCTAATTGAATTAATTAATGTGCAGACATTAGATCAAGGGTCCTCAAACTTTTTAAACAGCGTTTGTTTTTTAAAAAAACGTGAATAAATTCTTACACACACTGTACATATCTTATTTTGAAGTAAAAAAACCAAAACGGGGCAAAAACACCCAGCAGGCTGGATAAATGTTCTCGGCAGGCCGCATGTGGCCCGTGGGCCATAGTTTGAGGACGCCTGCATTAGAGGAAGGCCTGCTCTGTGCCGTGCCCTACAGAGGAAGATGACCAGGACACAGCCCTTGGAAGCTGCTCTTTAAGGCAGTCAGTTGAGCTGTAAACGTGGGTATAACACTCTCCTGGCTGGAAGTAGGTTCAGGTGTTGAGTGTACATTGGAGAGGACTACTACCTCTAAAACAACAAAACCAACTGAGGTAGTTAAGGTTTATTGTGCCAACCTGGTCAATAAACACGTGTGGGCTTAATTAAAGGGCCGAGGGATAAATGGCTTGGTGAGCCTTG